GTGTCAATTTAAGGTTGGTTTGTTCAGAATGATGTATGGATTTTCAATGTGGAAGGAACGTATGTCTTTATAATGTTTTGGCTTCATATAATTACTGTATGAATTTAATGTTTGACAACTCATCATGTTACTCTTCATTCATTTATGTTTGTTAAGATTTTAAACAAACATAAATGAACATAAAAGGTTTCCTCAATGCAACTCTTAAGTGGCACATGCTTCCCGTCAAGGATAGTTTGCCCCGGTCCACATAACGTGTTGTTTGCACGGTGTTCAGGTATTGCGTGAGTTATCTATGTTTTTCAGTGTCAAAAAAGTTGGCTTATATAGGGTATACCCTCGTTATCACAAAAAGGAACTCGAGAACATGAAATTCTTTACTTCTATTTGTTCCCTTCATTCATGCATTTTCTCTTTAAAATTTGAGAAGACAGTCTTATATTTGACCCCCTCTTCGTTTATGCATATTACAAGTATACCGTACTTAGGTCCCGTTTGATACGCATCTTTTCAGGTCCAAACAGATCTTTCTGGCTGAATGGACAGGAAAGACTGTTTGATTTGCACAAAAGAATGGGTCTTTCCCGGTAATATGTCTTTCCCAGAAAGCCCCAAAATCATATCTTTCTGGCTGAATGGGCTGGAAAGACAATTATACACCAAACTCCGCCTCTTTATTTCTTTATTGGATTATTAATTTTTTTAAATAACTTTTTTTAAGTTTATTTTTTATTGAATTATTACTTTTTTTCATCATTCAGCACAGTCAATCAGATATACAATCAAACAACATGGTTTCTTTCCCAGTCAGAAAACTTTCCCAGACAACACTTTACCAGACAGCACTTTCCCAGACAGAAACTATCAAACGGAACCTTAGTTCATCATAAAGGAATACAAATTTATGTATTTTTGATATTTTAATGATTTTTTATTCACATTAAACAGACTAACTATCTTTTACATTATACTTATAATTACAGAGTAAAAGATAATACAAACACTAAATCCTCTCCATCTCATCGCATTATACTTAACATTGAAAAGAACATTTTAAGTATATTTTTTTAGGAAAAACTTTGATAAAGTTCTAATGTTTTGAATCATTTTAAGGTTTAATCTCAAATTATTATTTTTCACAAAAAAATGACAGATTGCTATCTAATACTTCTGAATAACCATTTTTGGTTGGTTTCACATATTTAGATAATATCCCGTCTTTTTCTGTTAATTTGGTAAAAATATTGAGACTTTTTGGAAAACTACCCTATTTTTTATTCGATAACCAAAGTATTGGAACTTTTATGAAGATTGTTCTTGAATTAATGTGTATTATTATTAACAAATCATTTAAAAAACGAAACACATTTTTTTAGGAATAGAGAGGGTATGTGTGTTTATCGTTCAAAAAAACACTAAAAAAATATGGCACGTTGTCCACATATAATTATGTATATGAGACGTTCAAAAAAAAGAATTGTAATTTAATAAACAAAGAGAGAGAGATTTAAATTCCTCAAATCACATTCCTATTGAATTTTTTGGTATATATTAAGATGTTTGCCGCACAAATTCTCACAATGTCGAGTAGTATATATTTTGAAACAGATTATATCAATTATAGATAAACGGGACGAGAAAGACACAAGACAAAATGAATAACTTGAATAGCTTCTCGAAAAAGTTATAAATATTTTGTCAAATGTACCAAAGCCAAATTGATATGCAAACAGCATTTTGTTCTCTTCTTTTGAACTTTATGAACAATACATACCTTATTTTTATAAATAACAATATATATCTTATCTTATATTTTTAATAAAACAATTTAAAAAAACACGTTGGATACATTGAACATGACTGTGTATAAATAAATAAATAAACTTTGTTAATTTTGAACTCATGTTGGTTATTTTGTAAGTGTTTATGTTCTCAACTGGCATATTCTTTTAGTCCTTGTTCTTATTTTAACTAATTTCTTTAGTTTTGTATGCATGATTAACTCAATGGTTGGAATTGTCGCAAAGACGAGTAATACACAATTCTTGCATAATATCATTGTTTGTACACCACGCCTAAAAACTTGTACTCTCCTTTGGTGGATCAAAAATATATTCACGCAACAACGAATACATTTCGTCTGGATAGATTCTTTGAGCAAGCGAAGTGCAATAGTAACGTTCACTACCCCGTCCAACAATATAAACACCAGCCGGGTCGGACCCACACCCTGCGGGTCGTATCCCGGAAACATTCACCGCAAAAGTCCCACCAACCAACCGTGTAGGACCCACATCCCCGTCCACACCAGCAACCGCATCAATCACCTTAGGATCAGTACACAACCCGATCGTCACACTCAAATCCTCAAAAGCCCGAAGGGCAGGATCGTCATTTTGCGTTAGCCAAGCACTCACGATATCTTTCGGCTCATAATGCGAGTGATGAAACGGGGCCGTGAACCTCCATACACCGTGTTCAAAAGTCGGGATCACAGTCGAGAAAAACGACCCGCCGCGATTGGTTGACTTCACGTCAATCGGAGCACACGGTACCCCCATTGCCTCTAGACATTCAATAAAGTGATCATAACGATGGCTAAAGTTGAACTGCTTGGCCCGCCCGTAGTTTCGACACGTGGCGGATGACGTGGCGTACACGACATGCGTATCTACCGGGCCATCGGTTATTCTTAGAGGCCCGATGCTACTTAAAACCGAAGATAAAAAAGTCGGAAACTTAAAGCGGTTGCTATAAGGCGATCGAGGGTTCATCCGGGCGGCGAAAGCGGTCGAATCGTAACGTTGGAGAACTTTACGGAGTCGGTTGTAAGTGACCGCCATCGCAGTGTCGACCAAAACGTTGACATCGGCGATAATATCGGCCTCGGAACCACGATAGAGGTTCCCGAGTTCTAAAAGGTATGGGAAAATTACATTGAGGCGATTCTTGATTGTTGTGGCGAGATGGTCTAAATTTACCTCGGAAATTGTTGTCTTCCAATGTATAGGTAAAGGCCAAATGCGAACGCGACCCGATGCGATTAAAGCAAGCATAGGATCGGGCTTTTTGGAGGGGTTTGCCTTTTGATTATGATTTAAAATGTCCGGATTGCACCTGTCAGAAGAACGTGATTTTGCTTAATCGTAATACTTGCTTACCTTTTTATTGTATTGTAAATTTGTTACACACTCACGGCATTAACTCGAATAATCAAAATTTTATAGCTAAAAAACCATGTTGAATCCATAGTGTTTTAAAATGAGATACAAGTGCATAGATAGTAGTCTAATTTAAAGAATCCATAGGGAACATTCTAGGGCAAAAAATAGTGAGTCGACTCACCGAGTTGTTGCTTCGAGTTGAGTGGTTGGCGCACCGGTTTCCTCGGGGCATAAATCTGGATAATTTCGGTAGTTTAAAGAGTGTAGCCAAACAGCGACAGCTCCTTCTTTGTGCTCTGTTGATGCAATGTGAGAATAAATATGCTTTAATTTGAACTCCTCGGCCTCCTCTGCGTAAGCTTTCATGGACACTTCTTCATGGGTGTCTTTCCATTTTTGGTTATATGATGAGAAGAAACACTCGTCTAAATATAAACCAACTTCAGGAGCTGTTGGCACAGTGATTCTGACATCCCTACAAAATTCAAAGTATAGGTTCAAAAACATGTCAAACGGTTTAAAAGTCACCCATATATGGTGCTTTTTTAAAACACTGGTGTTTAGTAAAAAGACATAGCTTGTTAACCTTTTCAAAATAAAGTGTTGTAAAAGGAAAAAATGAAAGTAGGATGTAAAAGAATAATGAACTGCAATGCTATTTCTTGCATTTAACTCTATAAAAGTAAGCAATTGAAGAACTAACTGTTGTAGAGCTGTTTCCATCAATGATTCTGGGGCACAGTTCCTCATAATTGCAACAGCAACACCGATCATCTTCCTAATCTGGTGAAGCATAAAGCTCTGCCCAACAACTTCACATTTGACAAATTCGATCCCATCAACTGTCACTGTTGTGTTAGCATGAAACGAGATAATGTAACGATTAGCAGAAGGATCAGCAGCCTTGGTTCTTGTGGTGAAATTATGAAAATTGTGAGTTCCTTCATACTGTTTAAGAATCTTGTTAAACCGCTCCTTCTCTTTGTCACCATAACTGAACACATTCTCTTTTACAACGGTGCCATTTTCTACATTGTCAGCACCATTTACAGCATCGGAACTTGAATTATTGTTGCAGTCCGTGGATACAGAAGATGACTTTTCCAATGATTTTCCTTCAACAATCACGGAGTCAGGGTTCAAGGGTTTCTCACAATCATTCCCGTCATCTAAAGATGTTGAATTTTCCTGCTTACCATTTGAACCCGGTAATGTAGTGGAGGTGTTCGATGAAATGCCTGAATGTATTTCAACTTTTCTGCCTCTCTCTGAGCAGTCCAAACATTTTACAAGCTCATTTTCAGAGCCTACACTAGCCAACACGCTCTCTCTGTCACGATGAGATGTGGGGTCAAGTGCAAAAACGGGTAACAAATAAACATACCTCCGTCGATCGCAGAACTTTTTTGCACTAAACGACGCCGTCACCCGCTTATACCCGAAAATCCGAAACTGAGGCGGCAAGTTGTTGTTGAGGCGTTCCACGAAGCCCGGCGGATCTACATAGAACTTTCCAGAAACCACTTGCCCGACGGCGCTAACGCCCTTATCGGTTCGGGCAGATCGCGCAAAATCAAAACGCTTTGGACAACCCCGGTCTTGTTCAGGGACGGCGCCGGAGAAGAAAAGAGCTTCTTCGAGGTCTCCTTCAATGGTTTTCGCACCAGGGTTTTTTTGCATCCCTTGGTAGCCTACTCCACAGTACGCGAAGAGTATTGCGATTTTTCTTCGTTTATATCTGGGCTTTTTCTCTGCGTTCGCGGTGTTGGTGGTGCGGTCTTCGTCATCGGAAGTGGCGGCGGTGGTGGTGGACATTTTGAGCTTTTTCGAATCGGGTTCTTCTGACGGCGGCGGCGGTGGAGGCGGCGGTAGAGGAGGTGACGATGGTGATAAAGTATTCTGATTCTCCATTGTCATCAGATGCGGTGAATGTAGTCGTGGAGATTTTTCGAGGGTTTCGTAGGTGAGGGTATATGGGACGTGCTCTTTTAACCAATTTTAGCCTGACATCAATCAAATTAACCTTTTATTTTTGATTTTACATTATTATTATTATTATTTTTTTTTCTTTTATTTTATATTTTAATATTATTACTATTAAATTCGGATCACATTTTAAAATTCAGTAAACATTATAAATTCGTACGACATTATAAAATTCGAACGACTTTTTTGTCCGTAATTAAAAAATATATTTAAAAACCGATTTTACATAGCCGTTTGAATTTATAATGTCTTCCGAATGTTAAAATTTTGTGCGAAATTTATAATAATAATAATAATAATAATAATCAAAATATAATAATAATAATAATAATAATAATAATTAAAAAAGAATTAAAAACAACAAAAAAACAAAAAAAAAACAACAAAAGACAAAAAATCAAATCAATGGGGGGTGGAATTGGAAAATGAAAGGGGTACTTATAGAAAACCCCTTTACAGATTGTAACCGTTAAAAAACCCTAAAAACTAAAAAGTACAAGTTGTCGATCTTTTAGCTCCAACTCCAATGCAAAAATTTTACACTCCCCCTTACGGAGTTCACTATAAAAAAAATAAACAAAATTATAAAAATGGTCCCTATGTATTTTTGTGGGTTTTAATGCAAACTATGATTTTTTTGAATTGATGGTCCTTTTGAGCTAGTTTCATTGTGTTTTTGGTCCCTCTAAATAGTGAAATGACTGTAATGCCCTTATGATATATTTTTTTTGTTTTTTCTATTTAATTTAATTTTTTATTAATTAAAAATATGGGTCTCTCTCTCTCTCTCTCATTATATACACCTTTCTTTAAACCCAGTTAAACCCATACCTTCATAAGTTCTTCTTCAATAAGATGAGTTAACTGGTAATGAACAAAGACGAGCTTAGATTCTTCCAGTGCTTCTCTCTCTATGTGACCGGAGAACTAAAAATTGGTTGACCGGAGAAGCATCTTACCTTGTCGGAGATTGAACATTGTGGATTTAAATCCACCCACACCATCGAACCCTCTACTTCACTTACACATTCATCGTATTCACAACCTCCTCACACCACCAGACCCACACACACAATCCGACCCTGGAAATGCAATTCTTCCTAAAAGACAACCCAGGAGGGTGCTATTTGATTTTGATTTTGGTTAGTTACACCTAAAACCTGTGATTCAAGTATATATGTGTGAGTGAGTTTGATACGAAGATAACCCAAGAAAAGAGTTTGATGTGAAGACTACCACCACCACCCATGTCAGTGAATGAAGCAAGCCCTTAATCATATGGGTTAAAGTCTTCGATTGGGGGAATCCGATTGCATAGATCCAAGAATCAACCCAGTATTTTTGTTCTCTATTTTGTGGGACATCAAACCAAAAATACGGTAGGTGTAGTTGTCAAAATTTATGATTTCAGCAGAGATAATAGGAGGAGAATGTGGATTTTAACAAATATAAAAGGAGCTGGAGGTGAGTTCCAACGGGTTTCAAGCTCCAACATGAAGAAGATAGTCTTCTGGTATATTGTAGAGCGAGAAAGAAAACCCAAAAATTATTTATGTGGGGTTTTTTCTTCATCTAAATTTCCAGTTACAAGTATTCCAATTTCATTTTTGACAAAAATAGTTTTGGATGCTGAAGTGTGAGGAAGATGAAGATGGGTTCTACAGATGATTTGTAGGTGAAACGAGAGAGAAGAGAGAGAGAGAGAGAGAGAGAGAGAGAGAGACCCATATTTTTAATTAATAGAACATTAAATTAAATAGAAAAAACAAAAACAAAATATATCAGAAGGGCATTACAATCATTTCACTATTCAGAGGGACCAAAAATGCAACGAAACTAACTCAAAAGGACAATCAATCCAAAAAAGTCGTGGTTTGAACTAAAACCCCCAAAAAATACATACCATAGGGAGCATTTTTGCAATTTTGTCAATAAAATAAAAAATAATTAAAACAAAAAAGAATTAATCTTTCTTTCAATTCTTTCTATTCCTTTTTATTTGATAAAAAATAACCTATAGAAAAAATTAACTTGAATATATTTTTTTTTCTTTTCTCTCCCTTAAATGAAACTCGGATGTAATGATATTTTCAAATCGGGAAAATGTTACCGTAACACAAGTAACTTTTGTGTTTGGTCCGATTCAACAAACTATGTTATTTTTTTGCACATTAGACCATTAATGTTATACTGTAGATGTCAATTACTGTAACAACGTAAATTTTCAAACCAAAATTTTCATTTTTAAAACACATAAATTCTCATAATGTATTTCTCAAAAACATAATTTTTTCAAGTGTCAACACAAATCCACATAAAACATCACTATCCTAAAATCCACATGGTCTCGAAATCGGTGTGTACAATCAAGTCGGTGCCTTCCTGCAGTCCTAAGAAGTACCTGAAACACATATCACACAATACGGTAAGCACAAAGCTTAGTTAGTTCCCCAAAATATCACATACACAAATAATAAGTCTCTCATGGCTATAACTCGGCATGGACCCTCCGGTCTCATGCGTCTCGGTGAAGACCCTCCAGTCTAACGGCTCAGTGTGGACCCTCCGGTCATGTGTCTCAATGAGGACCCTCCGGTCTCACAGTTCGGGTGGGACCCTCCAGTCCTATATCTCAGTGAAGACCCTCTAGTCTCACAACTCGGTTTGGACCCTCCAGTCCGATCTCAGTAAAACACAGAATAACATAGCATATATCACAAAGACAGAAATGCCCAATATCACATAAATCAATATAAGCACATAGGACCCCCCGGTCAATAACTCAAATAAGACCCTCCGGTCACTCGGTGTTACCACTCAGGTAAGTATAGTGAGAAGACTCACCTCGTAAGCAAGCAAAGGAAACTGGATACCCCTCGAACAGTATAATCTCCGCCTACACGTAAAGCATCTCTAATTAACACATAAACATCACAACTTTATATAGACTCATGCTAATCCCTCTCTAACTCTTGGGATGGGCGAAAGACCATTTTACCCCTCCATGGTCCCATAATCCGTGCCTTGACCAAACCCTAAAGTCAACAGAAGTCAACACTCGAGTCAACTCTCCATGTTGACCTGACTCGCCGAGTGCATCTATGTGACTCGTCGAGTCCCTTCGATTCCTCAGAACCCTCATGAAAGTCCATCTCAACTCGCCGAGTTACAGCGTGTTCAGACTCATCGGGACAAACCCCAACTGACTTGTCGAGTTCCTTAAGTCAAGTTCTCATTCAGACGTTTTGAGGCAGAAACCATGCCCCATACTCTAGATCTGACTTCCTCAGGTTCGAATATGACGTAAAGCTTCGATCTTTACGTTCATGGATGTCATATTTGCTCCATAATGCCAATACAAGCTCCAACAAGGGTTAGATGCACAAGATCTTATCTTTAGCTCAATAAAGTTCGGGTCTTTGGACTCACAAGACCTCCTACAATCCAGATCTGAGGTTTCAACCTCAAATCATGCTCAAAGGACTCAAATGACACAACAAGGATGGGAGAAAACCCTAGAAGCTCCCTAAACCAAGATCTCATACGGAAATGATCAAGTTAGCATCTTTTTACCTCTAACTGAAGCAAAAATCTGATGAACCTCTAGATCCAAAGCCTCCTCCTGATCCAAGCTTTGATGCTCTACTCTTCTCCTTCAAAAGGGCACTAATAATCACAAGATTAACTTCTCTCTCACTCTCTAGCTCAAGTGGACGATTAGGGTTTCTCTCAAGGATGTAAGGTGACTGGTGAGGCGGAAATGAGGGCTTAAGGCCCCTTAAATAGGTCACAAACCTGGGGATTTAGGGTTTCCTCACACAGCGTCAACTCGGCGAGTCGGCTCTCTGACTCGTCGATTCGATCATTAAACCTATGTGACTAATCCCACACTACTCGACTAGTCGGGCACGTAACTCGTCGAGTCACTCATTAGATCCCAAAAATAAATAAATAAATAAATGTAATACCTGGGAGTCGGGAAGTTACAATTCTCCCCCACTAGAATCATACTTCGCCCTCGAAGTCAGGCTCCAGAAATAACTCTAGATACTGCTCGCACATCTCGGAATCCGACTCCCAAGTCCACTTGGATCCCTTCCGATGTTGCCACTGGACCTGAACCAGGGTGTCACACCCCCAAACCGAAACGGCGGAAACGTTCGGGGGTGGAGGACGTCATATGTAGTATCACAACAATTGAATAATAGTAATCAAAGCAACAACAACCATTGATTTAATAGTATAGTGTTTACATTTCATTTGAATGATACATAATAGACACCAAAAGTATATACAAGTAAAGACTCGAAGCTGCTAAGCTCCATCTTCTTGAACCCAGTGCGCATACCTGTCTACTAATGTCCTGAGAATACAAGTAGGCTTTGAAAGAGTATCAGCATAAAGCTAGTGAGTTCATAAGCATTTTGATTTGGAAATAACTGTTCTTTGTTCTTTCGAAAGGTACGTTATTTTTATCCAGAAAACTTTACATATTCTGATATAGTAAAGGTTAGGTAAAAATTGATTTCTGCTAGTTCATCTTGCGAGCACTTAGTGTATACAAATCATATGCAATTCAAGTCGAACAAACAGTCGACTGTGTGGTTCTGCCCCAAGCCCACAACCAAACAAGGAACAGGAAAAGAGGCGGAGACCACACATTCCACTGGTTGTCAGATTCTCATGTACATAATCCTGAAGTATCCAGTAGGTACTTACAACGTTATCCAGTATTGATCTGATGTTATTGATTCTCAAGAAAATCCCTTATTTTCTTATGAAAAGTATGATTAACCAATTCCTTCTATAACCACTTAGTTCATACTAGTTATGTATAAACCAACATCGGATAGACAGTTAATTGTGTGGATCTGCCCTAAACCCACAACCAAACAAGGAACAGGGAATGAGGCGGAAACCACACATTCCAC